TATATATATATATATATATATATATATATATATATATATATATATATATATATATATATATATATATATATATATTAGAAATTTGTAATTTAACTAAAAATATACTAATTAATTACCTGGAAATTGCTATAATTCAATTTAAATTAACAAAGTCTTATAACTTCGACATGTAGATTTTATTTTTAAAAAATATTTTGAAGATAATATATTTGTCTACCAAATGGAGACGGAATTACATTCTCCATCTCTAGCCTCAACTCTCTAGCCCAACATTACTTCAATCTCATTCTTGTCCTGTCTCGTAGATATCTAACTAGAGATGAGACACCTGTTTAATATAACATTTTTTTTTGAGACACCTGTTTAATATAACATTTTCTTTTTAAATGGAGGCGGGATTATTTTCTTCTCTTTACTTGTTTAATATAAACCTATTTTGTGTTTTAACTTTATTAAAAAGAATAAATTAATTAATTTGGAAACTTTAATCGTAACATTTAAATTAAATGGTATATTATAGTTTTTTTTTTTTTTTAATAATGGTTGAAGACGTAATATTAAAATTTGAATTATTAGAACTTTTTTACCATTTAAAAAAAAAATGATGAAAAATGAAAAAAAATAATAATAAACAGTTAAACCCAATCCAGCTAATTACCCAAACTCCGATGGTAGCAAAAATAAATTTGTTGGAATGGGTATAAATAGGTGGCGGGAATGGGACTGCTCCAGTCCCCGTCCAGTGGCCATCTTCCACCTTGGAGGTTCCCGCACAGAGCGCGAGCTACGCGTTGATCGAAACGCGATCGCTCATATGGAAGACTTGGAAGGATTGGTTCCGACGAGAGAATTGCAGTCGGTGTTCATTGGAAGTTCCCGCACGAAGAAGCATCTGTATACGGAGAAGCTCTTAGGATCAAGAGTTTTGATCTTGAAAAAGGGGATTTTATTTATACTTGAGCGGACTTACACTTTCATATCAATGTCAAGATAGCATGTCCAAAATATCAATCTGTAAGTCTGTATACATGCTTATTGAAGTTCTAAAAAAAAAAACTGAGTTTCTGATAGGGTTTAGACAAATCATTGTTGTGATGCAGGACTATATCGTTGATCAACATCCCTGACATCTTGGACTTGATTTGCATATTGCAGGTTCCAAAGAACGTCCTCCATGGACGGTCGACTCATTTCAGGGGAAATGCATCTGTTCATTAGGGAAATAATGGTTGATAGGGACTCTTGTGTGCAGGTAGCTAGAATGGTTGGATCGATGAGTCGCCGCCGTCCGTCCTGGCTGTTTAAACTCATCTGTATGAATCAACAATCATTTAGGTAATCTTGAACTGAACAGTTAAAAGGAATGGAAGATCATAAGTGTTTTGTTTGTTCTTGCTGTTGCTTATGCCCTATGCATTACCACCATGAGTAATTAGTTTTGATTTTCTCATGCACCTTGACAACCAAATGGTACAATGCTAATAAAGAAATAATCAGAAACTTCATGGCCTACCATTTCCTTTAGTATAGAGGGGTCTTTTCTAGCAGACACAGAAGGTGCTATAAGTGCCTCTAGTAGTATAAACCCAAAGCTATAAACATCATCCTTCAAGCTCATCATTTGCCTGAGGATAGATATCCATGTGAGAAAACAGTTGATCATCTTGGAAAAGAATGACCTAAATTATCACAAAAATTTCTTACCAATCTTGTGGACCTTCCCCTTTAGCCTACACAAACAGAAAACCAAGTAATCAGCATTTACCAATGATCCAATAGCAGCCGTAATCAAGTTCTACCTACCACAGATTTTGCTGGTTCTTCTGAGATAATGGACAGTCCATAATCACTTAACTTTGCCACATTATACTCAGCAATCAAGATATTGTTGATCTTTAGTCGGTTGTCGAAGAAACCAGGAATGACTCCAGTATGCAGGAAGTGTACAGCCTTGGCAACACTAATTAGAATTGCTAATCTTTCAGACCAGTTCAAAACCTTCTCTACAAGTTCAACGATTTGTTAGTCAAAAGAGAAATGTTTCTCTCAAGTAGTGGAAGTCGGAATTCATTTAGAGAATCAGTCCGAAAATGCTTCTAAATTACCAGATAGATGTGTACGAAAACTCCCATTTGGAACATATTCAGATACGAGGAAGACCTTGATGTCATTGAAGTCTTGTCCATCTCCATCAATGCAGTGACCCAAAAGGCAGACCAAATTTGGGTGCCTGAGCTTTCCAAGCATATCCAACCTAAGTTTAAGATTTCTTATTGAAAATTTCTTGGATATAAGCAAGGACCTTATGGCAACTTGAGTCCCATTCTCCAGTCTCCCTCTATATAGCTGCAAAACATACAAAAAAAGGCATGATATATATATACTTCAACTGTTCATGAGCCATTTCAAGGAAATGATTCAGCATTACCGAAAGACACATGCATGGGCAAACAGGTGGAAACCTATTGTCAAAGAAAAGGTACACCTAGAATTCTAAAGTAACTTAACTATGGTTTTTAATCATCACTGATCAAGTACATTTTGCATTGGATGAAGAAACTTTGTATTTGAATATGTCAGTCAAATACTGTATTTGAATATGTCAGTATGAGATCCCACATCGGTTGCGGAGGAGAACGAAAGCATTCTTTAGAAGGGTGTGGAAACCTCTCCCTACCATACGCGTTTTAAAAACTTTGAGGAAAAGACCAAAGAAGATAATATCTGCTAGTGGTGAGCTTGGACCGTTACATATATTGTTATATAAATTCTCATGAACAGCTAGTCCAAACTCCAAATGTTTGTTTCTTCTTCTAAATATATTTTCATTTTGTTAGGAGAAACCGAGCTTCCATGGAGAAAAATGAAGAATCGTCTCACTTTCACTTCCTCAGCTTATTTGGCAAGGATACTCACACACAGCTGAACTTGATCCATATTGATTGAAGTGAATATAATGATTAGAATGTTACCTTCCCGTATGAACCATCACCAATGATAGTTGAGTCATGAAAATTTCTTGTAGCTTCATTTATCTCCTCCAAGGAAAAAGTTCGACACAATGGAAGACCTTGAATTTCTAACTTTGCAGCTTCAGAAACAAACCCTGCAAGCAGGAAGCTTGGAAATGGTAAAGCTCAACATCTTTTACTCATGAACTCTACTAATTTTGACCAAACGAATAACTGCAAATGGAACTTTAGCTGAACTTACTTGCACTTGTTAGAAGCTCAGATGAGAATCCTGCTGTTGAACTATCCTGAACTGATTTCTGCAATAAATGTTGTTCTGATATTCCTCTAGGCCAACATCTTCTACATAAAACAAACCCAATAGAAAGTAGAAGCACTGATAACAAAATTCCAAGTAGTAATCCCATTACAACTCCTGCATGTTTAGCTCTATACTGCTCCTGGTGCTGATCATGGTTCATATTCTCTGTATCACAATATGATTTTGTATGCTGTTTCCCTACATGAACAGATAAGCAATTCCCATCTGCCTTAAGAGTTCGATTATCAGATTCAATGCCCAAGCAGGAAGGCAATCCTCCAGTAAGCATATTGCTAGATATATCAACAAACTGAAGCATGTTGCCACACTCCATATGGATCGGTAGCAACCCCGATAACTTATTCGAAGAAAGATTCAAGTGACTGATGTTGGGCAAGGAGAAGATTGTAGCAGGAGGGGTGCCAGTCAATTCATTGAATGATATATCAAGCTGTTGGAGCTGACTAAGTTGACCATATTGCTGTGGAATCTCACCCGAAAAAGAGTTTTTTCCGAGTAAAACGATAATCAACGCCTTTGGTAATGTAGGCAGTGATGAATCTATTTTGTTCCAGCTCAAGTCCAGAACAGTTAAGCCATGTAATTTACTTAGATCTGGTAATTCACCAGATATGTCATTGCCAGACATGACAAGCTCAGTAAGGGTACTGATGCTCAAAGATGGAAACGAATCCTTGATCTTGTTGTTTTTCAAGCTCAGCACTGTCAGACTAGACAATGAATCAAACCAGTCGGGCATAGTATCATTGAAGAAGTTGTCATCTAGTTTAAGAGTTTGAAGCTTCACCATGGTAGAAATCTTAGGTGGGATCGCACCAAAAAGATAATTTGAGCTCAAATCCAGATACTCAAGTGAAGATAATCGATGGATTTTGTCTGGAAGTGGACCCCAGATGCCCAAAGACACAAGGCTAAGAACTCGCAAGCTATTTAGTCTTGTCAAAGTAGTGATGAATGAATCAAGAGAGAAGCTCTCCGATAGCGTTTGATTTGGTATTGCAAAGCCAATGAACTCATCGACTTTGCTTTGAGTATCACCTGAAATTCTAAGCTCAGTAACCACACTATCCTGGCATGTAACGTTAACCAGAGGAAGAAAGGACAGTGTGCAAAAATCCACTCTGTGATCAGTCCATGAATCCAGCTGCTTCGGGTACTCCAAGTGCTTTCTCAGCTGGAGAAGCGCTTGGGCTTGCGAGGCTTGCAATTGGTAAGCTCCACCACGTAAGAAAGTGCAAGCGAAGCTGAGAAGTAAGAACAAACAATACTTCCCCATCAAAGATTCTTCAAACTATATGATCTGACCTGCTTCTTCTTCTTGTTCTTCTTGCAGCCTCTGTTTCAGAAACATCAAAATGGCGAAGGGTTTCAAGCAATCATGAAAGGAGATTGAAAATGGCGAAGGGTTTGCAAAACCCACCAAGAAAAACGTTAGAAAAAGGAGAGAGGGCGATGAAATGGAGTCATTATTGAAGCAAAACCCAGCGGGGACTGAGAGTATGAACACACTGGGACTGGCTTTCTTCTCCGGACTGTCATTCGAGGAAGAAATTCACAGAGCAGTGAAGGCTGATGCGAAAGTGGGCCACCTGAAATGGACGCGTTTAGTTTTAGCACATGATTTCCTTCTCTCTCTGTGTTGAAAGCAATGGAAAATGGGGTATGGCAGGAATGAATGGGTGTTGGGTTGGAAAGGTTCACTCTTTTCTAAGCTTTTCTAAGCTGTGGTGCGTGTGGAGTATGGGTTGGAAAGGTTCACTCTTTTCTAAGCTTTTCTAAGCTGTGGTGCGTGTGGAGTATTATTAGGAGTCCATCCCACGTAGATTAATTTAGTGGAAGATCGATCATGCGTGTATAAGTGAGGAATATTATTTCCGTTAGTACGAGGCATTTTGTGGTAGCTCAAAGCAGTCATACAAACTTATGCTTAAAGTGGATAATATCTTATCATTGTGAAGATTCGTGATTCCTATCGGTACGAGCAAAAAGAGAGGGCAGCCGCCATTATTTTACTCTGCAATTAGGGATCTAACTCAGCTTTCTTCATATCTCTCAGTCAGCTGAACACAGCTCAAAGAAAATTGGAAATCCATAAAGCCAGGTAAAATCCATAAAGCCAATTTCGTTAATAGTACTTTATATTTGGTTCCTCTTGTCATTGTTTCTTAGTAACTTTTTTCAGCTCACGTGGAAGCATATGATCTTTTCGTTAAAGTATATTTCTCCGACAGTTTTTATACGATCTTTCCAATTCAACTGTGGATCAGGTAAAAATTCAAACATCTTATCTGTTAATTTTCAGTTAAACTATGAATTAGGTATGAAATCGAACGTTATGATATTTTAGCTTTAGTTAAACTATGAATCAGGTAAAAATTTCGAATATCTTATCTTTTAATTTTCTGTTAAATTAAACTATGAATTAGATGAAAATTCGAACATCTAATCTTTTAGTTTTAGTTAAACTATGAATCAGGTGAAAATTCGAACATCCGATCTTTTAGATTTCAGTTAAACTATGAATCAGGTAAAATTCGAACATTTGATTTTTTAGTTTTCAGTTAAACTATGAATCGGTTAAAAATTCGAACATCGGATCTTTAATTTTTAGTTAAACTATGGCTCATTTGATCTTTCAACTTTTAGTTAGACTATGGATCGAACATTTGATTATTTGAACATCTATTTTTTTTAGTCAAAATTATAATGTATTAATCGGTTGAGTTATGAGTTATTGCTCCTCTTATGAATTATTGCTCAAAATTTGAATATATTAATTTTTTTTTTTTTACATTGAAGCTCAACCATTTAAAATTAGGAAATAATGAAAATAGGATAGGAAAGAGGTCAAAGATTTATTTCCAATTTTCAATTTTATTTAAAACAAATATTTTCCAACCCAATTATATAAATTATTGTCCTCCCTAAAATTAGCATAAATAATATTCCCCCATTTATAAATAATAGGAATAGGACCATATTCATCAAGCCAATATTTAACTTATGGTTGTAACATTTCTCATGGTACTATAAATAAATAAAATATAATGTTTTTAAAATAAAATAAAACATAGGTGAAGCCACATTTTTTTTATTATTTATTTATATATATATAATACAAGAAATTAAGCAACTTGTTTGGATACTTCCAAATTCCAATCCAACGTGAAACTATATTAAATTTTCAACTAAATAAATAAATGGTGAAATGTTGGGATTGCCCTTCTTGGAACTAACAATTTCTCCTTTTCCCATACCAAATAAAATAATAAATAAAAAGGGTCTAAATGGTAATTTTAAGTGGTTACTTCCTTCGGATATTATCCTATCATCTACCCTTTTGAGTTAAGTAGGACCTACGGTTGTAACAGCTTAAGTTCATCGTTAATAAATATTGTTCGCTTTGATCCATTACGTATTGTCGTCAGCTTCACGATTTTAAAACACGTCTATTAGACCAAGGTTTCCACACCCTTATAAAAAAAAATTTGTTCCCCTCTCCAACCAACGGATCTAACAATTCACCTCTCTTGGGGCCCAGCGCGTTCATTGAGGTTTCCACACCCTCATAAAAAATATTTTGTTATTCTCTCTGACCGATGTGGAATTTCACAATGTATCTCTCTTGGGGCTCAGCGTTGAGGTTTCCACACGCTTATAAAAAATGTTTTGTTCTTCTCTCCCACCGACGTGGGATTTCACAATTCACCCCAACACCTTCGCTGACACACCGTCTAGTATCGGGCTCTGATATCATTTTAAACAGCTTAAACCTACCACCAACAATCTTAAAATATCCGTAAAAAAAAAAAAAAAAATCAAATAATATTCTTAATATTCTAACGAAGGAATATATGTTATTTTAAAAAAAGAAAACAAAAGGTAGTTTTTGAAATTTTATCCTCATGTATTTGGTAAAAATAATTTAAAATTTTCAATTTGATTGTGCCTCAATTTAATTTAGGTTAATTATTATATTACTACTTTAATAATAAGACAATTGTTTGAAAGGACAATTTATATAAAATTATCTGGTTGCAAAATATAAAATAATTAATTTTATTTTTAATTATTAAAAAAAAAATTGCCTAGAGAACCACAAAAAGGAGGGTAAAGAAACTAAGGGCTGTGCCCTATGTTTAAGGACATTCAGATTTGTGGGCCCTATTTTAGGTTTTATTACACCAAATATATTTATGATACCAATAAATACACATCTCATAAGGTGGTTCTTCCATTAAATTACTCATTAAATTCTTTCTTTAAAAAAAATCTCATTATTTTAAAAATTAAAATATTATCTTTAATTAATTTTTTTAGAATATTAGATTAAAAAATTTGATTTATGTAGCTAAAATTATGATTAAAAAATCAAAATGACATTATAAAACTTAATCACTTTTTAAAAATATATGACGTTTTAAAAATGAACCAAAATTAAAAAATACGAAAAAAATGAAAATTGACGTTTTAAAAATTCAAAATAAAAACGAGCTTAAGTCAACTGTACAACTATAAAATAATATTTAAACTTAAATAGGCCGAAAATTTTGAATCTCTAATATCTATAGATATATATATATATATATATATTTGATAATATTAATTTTTTTTTATATAAAATACTATCAAGTTGAAATAAAGAATTACAAACACCGAACATAAATCTAATTTAAGCCTAAAAAATATATTTTTTATTTGTTATTTATAGGTGAAGTTTCCTGTTTGGGAATTGGAATAGCATAACGTCATGTCAGGATAACTGTGTGCATGGCCCGCCGCCGTGGCACGACGGAACCTTCCCTTTGACCCGGCTGTGGGTCCCACGTCCCCACTACTTTTTTTTTTTCCTTTTTCCTTTTTTTATTTTATTTTATTGAATAAAAAAGGTAATGTCTCGTCAAATAGTTGTGAGATATTTTTTTTTCCTTTATATACATTATTAAAATCGGTTATCGGTCCCTAATAAAACATTCTAGAAACTTCTTCCTAACCGATGCGATTTAAAATTTTGAACGGAAGCTCAGAAAAGAAGAACTATATCTGTTTGTGGTGGACTTGAACTGTCATATAAATATTTACAAATGCATCATTAACATCGGTTGACTAGATTGATCTGACAAAAAAAATGTCAACCTAGAACAGAGCCAAATTTTTAGTTTTTTAAAAATTCAATCCAACCCCACCTCTTATAATTTGGTTTATGTGGTTTAGATTGCTCGAGTTATCAAATCATCTGAACACTCTTTAACAACTCGATATGAACCAACAGACATCAATCATAAATAGAATTTCTATCATAAATAGAATTTCTATTTTTAGCTTTGTTGAGAGCTAAACTTTCTCTCCAAATTGTTACGTTCAGAAATTGCACGTATAGTCATTCAAGCGATCAAACTTCTTATAGAGTTATTCGAGTCACGAGTTTAGAAACGAGTTTAGAAACGAGTTTTCTTTACTCTTGATTCAAACCTCTTATGGAGTGATTCGAATCACGAGTTTTCTTTACTCTTGATCTTGATCATCAAGGTAATTCGTTCCATACTTTCCCTTGGGTTGATTTCCATATCAACTCCATGAGTAACTCTTGTCCTATGAATTATTTACGACCGTTTTATCAAATTATAGAAACTATTCATCTAAGTTTTTATGAAATTAAAGAACATAAAAGTTATAACATTTACTAAAAAAAGATTGGTTTAGTTGAAAAGGCAATTCATATGATTAGCCTTTTTGAGGAGCTTTGGTTAGTTCAAATGTCAAAAGATTTTTATTTTATTTATTTATTTATTTAAAACAATTATTGAAGTGTTTATTAACAACAATTCAATTCTCTCAATTGTCAATAATGTTTTTATGGCAATAATTCCATTGTCATATAATGATGACAATCTAATGAGTTGGAGTTATTATACTCCTTAAAAAATCTTCTTTCTTTTTTATTTTCATTTATTTTAATGTGTTTTCGTTCAAACAATCAACTCGATCGGTGATATTTAATTAGATTATTCAAAATATGTCGGTCATTCGAGGTTTTTGGGTTGAGTCGGGTAGAGATCTATTGGACTAGTAATGTGCTCCGGTGTTCCTATAATCCAACCTTACAATTTGAGTGGATTTGTTGTTCGAGTTGATAGCACTTTGTATTAGAACAACATATTGAACTATGTTCGAATTGGTATTTGATATGAACATCTATTAAATGGGGGAGATTAGACCATTGGCTTTTAGGCGTTTTATCCAATGAGCTATCTTTGGAAAGACGTCCTATATGAAAACTTAAAGAGGGGGAGACAATGTATTCGCGAGGCTAGGGATATCGATGTGTGAATAGCATCAATCATGGCCATGATGGTTTACCATCCAAGCCAATGAAATGAGTTTACGATCGACTTCGATAGATTGACATAGTCAAATGGGTGTAATGGTGCACCTCGTCGTGTCCGTGCAACGTGTTATGTGTTACTTTAGTGGCAACAACACGATCACATAGGACGTCGAGTCATGAACGGAGGGAACCATCTTACTGACTAATGCTACTGTCTGATAGAGAACAATTTCTTGGATCATATCAATGGATAGAAATCAATCAAAGACAGAAATATTTCAGTAGGGCAGATTTCTAAGATCAAACTCAATCATTTCATCAGAAGATCAAACGTTTTATTTCTAATGATTCTCGACTCGTTCAGCGCTCAAAAAGTTCGATAATATAGCAGCCGGAAAATGGATGTTCGAAAATTGAAGAACAAATGAGAAAGATTTTCAGAGAATTCAACAGTAAAAGGAGTAGAAAATAGTAAAAGTAGTGACCGGGGGCTCAGAAACTCCTATCATTCTATGAGAGCACTTTCTGAACCTCAGCTGTGACTTCTTTTGGAGGCTTCTCAGCGTGCAGATTAGCGACAAGACCCTTTTTCGCATAATAATCGATCACCTGCAAGCCAGAACATTTAGAAACATAAATGCAAATCCCGACCTAACTACATTTGATTGCCAAGATAGCTCAAAGGATATTTGTAACAGCCCAATCCCACCGCGCTAGCACATATTGTCATCTTTGGGCTTTCCTTTTCGGGTTTCCCCTCAAAGTTTTAAAACACGTTTACTAAGAAGAGGTTTTCACACCCTTGTAAGGAATGCTTTGTTCCCCTCTCCAACCGACGTGGGATCTCACAATCCACCCCCCTTGGGGGCCAGCGTCCTTGCTGGCACACTGTCCAGTGTCTAGCTCTGATACCATTTGTAACAGCCCAAAAACCCATCGCTAGTAGATATTGTCCTCTTTGGGTTTTCCCTTTTGGGCCCCCTAAAGGTTTTAAAACGTATGCTAGGGAGAGGTTTCCACACCCTTATAAGGAATGCTTCGTTCCGCTCTC